AGCTTGTGCAGAGGTAAGAATAAATGCTCAGTTTTCACCGCATATTGATGGATTTGGGAGAACGTCATTTACCCATGCTGTGTACAAATCTGCACAACTATCTGTCACACGGCGGCAGGGCCTTACTGTATTGTGTGCTTTTAAACCTGAAAGGACTGTACTTATTTATTGTATGACTTCAAACTCACACTTTACAAAATCTAGATTCGCAATTGTATCATTTAAACTAGCTTGTGTTTTTAAAGTGCATTTGATTCACGTACTGCTTTCTTAGACGTAATCACATACAGCCTCTCAAACCTGACTGACACACACAAGGAAACGAATCCCCCGAATCTCAAGGAGAGAGCTTGGCTCTACTCAGTCTCATTATTTTGTAATTATAGTCATAGTTTATTTTTCCCTAGTGTTTATTCAGTTCCAGGTGTTAAATAGAAGTAGCTTTAAAAAAGATCCCACTAGCAGCCCTGGGGGTTGGTATTCATGCTGGGAACCTGCGGCACAGGGTCCGTGTGACGTGTGACGTCCAGGAAGGCCAGCGAGGGATTGTTTTTCACAAGCAAGGAGACCACCTGCCGGCCATCAACACCTGCCCCAGTTTCCTTATTAAACCTTTAGAGAACACAAAGGAGGTGAGAGTCCCTTTCTTCCCGTCTTCCAAAGAACACTTTTCTGTATAAAAGATGCCCTAAATCCTTTGTCACGTCCGTGTCCAGAAACTGCTCTCACAGGCAGCTTGGCCTCTGCTGAGCAGCCGGCTCCTGTCCTCGTCCTTGTTTCTCAAGCACAAAGGACCTAATTGTAAAGTGGCAAGTGGGGTATGCATTGAGGGGTGGTCCCCTGGAGAGAGGAGCCAGCCATGTGTCAGCTGACATTAGTGGATTAGGCTGAAGCTCAGCTTTAAATCAGAATTAGAGAAAAATCTTTCTGCCACGACTAGACGCTCATTTCCCCTCATAATTAAAGACATGCAAACTAAAGTGAGTGGTTCCCTACGTCCCCACGGGAAGAAATGAGGAGCATGGATAACTCAAGTGTCTAGTGGGCGTGTGAGAAGCCGCCACAGTGTCGGCGAGGGGCGACCCGTCAGAGTTAAGTGTGCATTGCCCTTCAACCCCGCAGCAGGACTCCATTTATGGGAACACTTGGGCAAACATATAAAAACTTGTCAAACAACTCAAGTGTTCACTGATAGCAAATTGGTCAAATATTCCATGCTATGGAATATTATGCAGCTGCTAAAAATAATGCAGATCTGTATGCTCAGTTGAGAAAGATGGCCACCACCTGTCTTAATCCAATAAAGCAGGCT